ACATGATTTTCATAACAGAATACAACTGATATATAACAAGCCAAGTAACACCAAAAACTCCTTGGGATTTGGCTTCCTCTGGAGGAATTCCCTGATCCCTCCAGATAGTGACTTGGCCATAACCAGCTGAGTTCTTATGATATTACTGCAGCCCGCAGCAAGTAACAAGATTTCAGTTATAAAGTAGCAACAAAAATAATTTTGTGGTTGGGGGTCACCACAACGTGAGGAACTGTATTAAAGGGACTCAGCATTAGGAAGGTTGAGTAAGAACTATTGTCCTAGAGGAACTCCAGGACCCAGAATTTAGTCCATCATAAACCTCCGCTGGGATGTGAAACTCCCAAAGAATCAATGAAAAAGTTAAAGTTTCAAAAATAAATAAATAAACCTCCTCTGGGAATTCAGGGGGGTTAAAGAAGACACAAAGAAACAGCTGGATGGAATGAAGGAGAAAGAACTCCAGAATAACCGCCTGAGTGGTGGTCAAGAGAACACTAACATAAGATGATGGAAATAAATGATGACGACAATCCAGGATTGAGATGGAATTTAATCAGGAGATGGAAACATTGAAGAGAACTCAAGCCCAAATGAAGATGGAGTTGAAAAGACCAATAACTCAACTAGAACCCTCCAAAGGAAGCCTTACACACAGAATGAACCAGGCAGAAGACAGAATATCAGATTCCAAAGATAAAATAGAGGCTCTACGCCAAATCAGTGAGGAACATGAAAAAAATTAAAACAGGATATTTGGGACACCATGAAAAAAAAAAACCCTAGAATTATAGGCATAGATGGAGAAAAACCCCAAGTCAATGGCACAGACCAAATCTTCAACAAGACCGTAGAGCAGAACTTCCCCAAACTAAAGAAAGACACACCCACACAGATACAAGAAACATCCAGAGCACCAAATAGACAAGACCAGAAAAGAAAGCCCCCATGGTGGATCTTAGTTAAAACATGCAGTAAACGTAACAGAAAGTGTAGCGAAAACTGCAAGAGGAATGTAGTCACGTGTAAAGGAAAAGCTGTCTGCTGTGGATATCACTCTATATAAATAAAACACTGATGGCCAGTGACCAGGCAGGAAGTATAGGCGGGACAAAGAGAGAGGAGAATTGGGGGAACAGGAAGAAGGAGGAGAGACACTGCAGCCACCGCCAGGACAAGCAGCATGTAAAGACGCCAGTAAGCCACCAGCCACGTGGCAAGGTATAGATTTATAGAAATGGGTTAATTTAAGATATAAAAACAGTTAGCAAGAAGCCTGCCACGGCCATACAGTTTGTAAGCAATATAAGTCTCTGTATTTACTTGGTTGGGTCTGAGCAGCTGTGGGACTAGCGGGTGACAAAGATTTGTCCTGACCGTGGGCAAGGCAGGAAAACTCTAGCTACAGCCATCAGAATAAGAGCTGAGCTCCCAGGGAAAACTTTGAAAGCCCCAAGCACAGTGAAGAAAGACACCTCCCTCAAAAGCCTTAGAAATATCCCTCCAACTTACAGGCTAACTCTGTCAGGTAGGGGAAAATCTCAAAAAAAAATTTTTTTTTACTGTATAAGATTTCTTACTATTTTTTAAATTATGCATATGGAAGGTGGGGTATGTGCATGTGAGTGTGCATGTCTGTGGGGGAGGCCAGAGGTGTTGGAACCCCTGCCCCTGAGCTGCAGTTCCAGGTGAATGTAAACCACCCTGCAATGATGCTGGGAACCAAACTCAGGTCCCCTGGAAGAGCAGCACATGCTCTTAACCGCTGGGCCACCTCTCCAGCCCTGCACACACATGTTTTTTTTTTTTTTTTTTTTTTTAATCCACCAACAGCAGAGTCCTGGAGAGAAGGAGAAGGGCATCTCTGGGGAGACCCATAGACCTCAGTGTGTGGTGAAAATCAAGTCAGTTCCTCCAAAGGGATCCTGGGAAAGGAGCATCCCGGTGGTAGGAGGCAGAGCAATGATCCAACCCGGCAGGACTCAGGCACTCATGAGAAGGGTGGACCAAAGGTTCTTGAGGTGAACACACAGGGCTTCCCAGAGTCATGGAAAGAGGCAACCACCAACTTTCCCCATATGTGGATGCCTGAGTATTATTATCTGGATCACATTTATACACACACACACAAAAAAAAAAAAAAAAAACTTACACCCAAGCCAGAAAGCTGCCACTGGCAGAGTTTTCAAATGTCCGGCTTCAGAGGGTCTCCAACCATGACCCCAGCTGTGGCTCAGACACGCACAGACACAGTCACATAGGAACAAGAGCTGACATTTAACGCCATCTTGCTCATGTTCCTGCTTTACATGTATTAATTCATGTATTAATCCATGAGCTCCTTGACACAGGTCCCAGGCAGGTACTGCTAGAGGGCAGGTTGAAGCAGTTGGTTCAACATACCCGTGCCCCCAGAGCCTCTACCTCTCTCAGCATAAAAGTCAGGGCCACCCCCCCCCCCCACTAATGACGCCAGGAACACTGGTCTCAGTGTTCTCCAACATGCCAAGTTAATTCCTGCTTCTGGACCTTTTCACCTGGCCACCAGGTTTGTTAGAAGCACCCTGCACCCCAAAACATCTTTCCTATGTTGTTTGGTTTGGCTTTTCTGGGGTGGGGGTCGAACCCAGGTCCTCTTACCTGCTAAGCAAAGGCTCCATCATGATCTACCTCCAACCCTCCTTCTGTAGCTCCTCTTTCACCTTCTCACATTCTGAAGTTGTCTTCTCAGTAAGCCTCCCTCGGCGGCCTCATTGTAGCCCCTTCGCACCCCACCCTACACAGCGTTCACCTCCATCTGACGAGGGCTCTGTTGAGTTCCCGTCTCCTTGAGACAGTCACCTCTATCTAGTCATATCATTGCCTGCTACCCTAGCCCAAGTCCCACAGCCCGCGGATGGCAAAAAGCTGGGCTCAACACAGATGCGCCAACTTTGGAGTCCTTCCAGTTCCCTGCGAGGACGTTACCGTACCCAAGGACCCCTGCGCATGCGCACAGAGACACAGTCGCCCTATAGGCCCCGGTGCACACTCAGGTCTACCCACCCGGCCCCCAGGATCTCAGCCAACAAGGCCCCCCCGGCCCCTCATCACCTGGAACCCCCCGTGTCCCACATACAGGAACTTGCCGTCTGTCTGTTGGCCGGAATAGAGTTTGCGTTCGGCCTCCTCGCGAGTCAGGCTGCTGTGGTACCAGGGCATCCGCTCATGGGCTGTGGTGGCAATGAGCTTCTCCACCTGGGGGGCCTGGCTGATGATGGCCTGTTCTAGTGCATCGCCCTGAAGACAGGAGAGGAGCGTTGTGGGCGTGGCCAAGTGGACGGCCACCGGAACCGGCTTGCATCTCTAGACTCTCCAGAACCCACCCCACTCAGCACAACTACCTGCATCTGCAAGCGGGTAAAGCGTAACTAACCTCCACTAGCCCTAAGGTCTCCCTCCTAACCCAACCAGGGAGGCACCGTAGCCAGGCCTCACCGCCTAGCCCAGCTCCGAGCTCATCGACTTCAAGATCCGACACGATTTCCAGCTCAGGCACAGCACATGATGTGAACTACAGCGCACCGTCCCTGTCTGCCATCCTACCGTAGGGCACACGCCCGCCCTTCACGGTCCTCTCTGTCACCTTCAAGCCCAGGAGGCGCCTCCACCTTTAAGCTATCATAGTCGAGCACCACAGCATCGCTCAGGCTACGCAAGACAAATTACCACCATCGCCACCAAGCCCGGACCTAATGTCCTCCTTCCAGGTCCCGGGCTCAACCAAGCCCTACACTTGCTTCCAAATCCCAGACCTTGGAGCATCTTGCAAACCAGTGAAGAAGACTCAGCATGCCTCTGCAGCCATCAGGCCACGCCACGCCCCCTCTGGCCACGCCCCCTCTGGCCACGCCCTCACCTCCAGCTTCCAGGTCTGGCGCACGTAGTCGCGCACCATGGCATCGCGCAGGCAGTCGAAGACCCCGGGCTGCGGCTCCAGGCCGGGCGGCCGGTTGCACGGCTTCCGCAGGTTGCAGGGCAGCCCGTCGGGGTCTTGCGAGTAGAACTGGCAGAGCTCGGCTGGGCCGCAGTGCGCCTTTCCGCCCGCGATGGCGTAGGTGCCGTTGAGTTGGCGCTCGATGGGAAAGTGGTGGAAGCGCACGTCGTGCACCAGCGACAGCACGTAGCCCCCCAGCGAGCGCAGGCACTGGCGTAACAAGAACAGCCCGTCGGCCATGCCTGCCAGCTTCAGGTGCTCCTCGGCCTCGGCGCGCGAGATGCTGCCGTAGAAGAAGGGCAGGTGCGCCGCGGGGTCGGGCATCGCCGGGCCCTGTGGGTGCAGAAAGGCATGCAGAAAAGCGTCAGGACCCGCAGCCCTTCCCGAACCCTGGCCGTCAGCGCCGGAGAGAGCCCACGAGGATGGACATCTATGGGGTATAGCCAGAGGCACCTCATCTTTGCACTGGAGTCGGTTCCAGAGAGGAGTGGCAGCGTCCTAGGCACCCATCCGGATCTGAAACCCACGACGGACTCTTCAGAATCCCGTGCACATAGCATCCGGACACCCTAGAGGTCCCTATGCCTGAACCGACCCTTCATTTCCCAAACACATGGTCTGTTTTGTTTGTTTTTTGCGTTTCATGCTAGATGCTGAGGATATTACCTATAAAATATTGTCGTTCTCTGCTCTCTTGAAAGCCACACAAACTGAAGAGGCAGCGGTCAGTAATGTGATAGACAAGAATGACAATTACCATTGCAGATTAAGGTCAGGATTTTTAAGAGTGATGTTAGAGAGAAAAGAGGTTATAGCTAGAATGGCCACCTCCTTTGATCCCAGAGCAGAAGGATGAGGAAGAGCCACCTCCTCAAAAACCATGAGGGGAGAGAGTCAGGCAGAGCAAGGCTAACAAGCATCTCATCAGAGAACCTGGCCCCAGCCTTCCCCACTTCCCAGTGGGTGCCCTCGACCTCTATAATTCCCCTTGCCCTGGCCCTCTGAACCAGTTTCAGAAAGCATGAGTTAATCTGAATATCCATCCCTAGAGAGATGGTTAAGAGTCAGGATTGAACTCTGATGTTAGTTCTGATGCAGCCGTTAAACAACATGAGATGTGTGGTTGGGGGAGAAAAGAAACGTGGAGGGGGTAGAAGGAGGGAGGGGGAGACAGGCATGGTGGCTCCTGTCTGTAATCCCAGCGTTTGGGAGGCTGAGGCAGGAGGCTCACATGAATTCAAGGTCAGCCTGGTATGTATGTATGTATGTATGTATGCATGTATGTATGTATGTATACATGGATGTGTATGGATGGATGGATGAGTGGATCAATGGGTAGATGGATGGATAGATAGGTAGGTAGGTAGGTAGGTAGGTAGGTAGGTAGATAGATAGATGATAGATAGATAGATAAGTAGATAGATAGAATCTGATAGGCAAATAGTTTACAATTGTCTATCCTGAAGTGCCTGGAGTGATGCTAGTGTTCTGTCATGTTAGGGCTTGGGGTACACCAGTGTTTGAATTAATCAAAACCCAGTGTACACTAAAGATTCATTGTATTTGCTCCTTTAGGGAGAACTACTCAGTACTGAGCCCCAGCTGCAGATCTGCATGCAGATGTTCAGGCTGTGATGGTGCTGTGACTGTAGTGTTGAAAAACATCTACAGTATAGACAACAGATGGGTGGGGGGCACGAAGGTAAGAGGGTTGTCAACTCTTGTTATGTACAGCAGTTCTAGAAAAATCTCTGCAAACACTGAATTAGTGACTACTGAAGAGCAGATGCAGGCTTAGATTCCCTGGCCACGTGGCCAATATGTAACTGTTGGGGAGGGAGGTTGGTGTGGGGTTTCATATAGCCCAGGTTGGCCTTGAACTCACTATGTTGCTGAGACTGTTTGAATTCCTGATCCTCCTTGCCTCCACCTCCCATGTACTGGGATTATAAACCTGTGCCACTACACCAGGCATAAAGGTACAGCCTAGGCTGGCCTTGAACTTGTGAGTCTCCTGTCTCATCCTCTTCAGCATTTGCCTACCATCAGCAGGTTCCCATCACAGCTGTCTGTACCACGTGTGCGTGCGTGCGCGAGCGCCTTATTGAATACACATTGTTGGGCTAGAGCTGGACCTCTGTAGTAGAGCATCTGCCTGGCATGGGAAGGCCCAGGAAATGTGCCACCCCACAAAAACAAGAGCCCCATATGGCTCACGCTCAGTGGTGACGTGATCATCAGTGACTCAATATTCTTTCCGTTCTGTGTGTATCTGCAAATTGTGGGAAAACACCACATTATTTTGAGGATTGCAAAGTTCAGCTAGCAGGTGAATTCTCAAACACGGAATCTGTGAATAATGAGGGCCATTCTCTATGAGAAGCGGAGCAAAATGTCTGTAGAATCCAGGGGTGAACAGGAAAAGACAATTCATTCTTTCCATTCTCCGTATTCTTGTTTTTATGCAATGTTGGGGAGGAAAGTTAGTTCATCATAACAATTACTTGTTATCTACTTAGCTGACCCAGGAAGGCCTCTTGGGCATAAACTATGATAAAGAAGGGACTCAGTGTCCTTCTTATACACACAAGGGCAGGGGGTAGAAGCATACATAGACTTAGTAGATGTGTCCAGGGATGGCCAGAGATGGTGGCTGAGGCTAAGAAAGATGCTTGGATGGGACCAGGCCAAAGCCTCAGTCTGGGCAACTGGGGGCTGCTGATCACAGGGCACAAATATGGGGTGGAAAGCCAGGCTTGACAGGTCTCTGGATGCCCACCCCCAACAGTCAATGGCAAGCAGTGATCAGAAGCCCGCATGATCAACGGTGCTGTCTATTTTTACCTGGAGATGGGTGATGTCTAAACTGGCATAATGACACACACCTGTGATCCCTGCACTTGGGAGGCTGAGGCAGGAGGATTGAGCTCCAGGCCAGCCTGGGTAGAATACAAAGTTAAGGCCAGCCGAGAGAGTGAGACCCTGTGTCAGAAAACCACACAATGAAAGGGAGGGAAGGGCGAGAGGGAGGATCTTTTCATTTTTAGGATCATTTTATATATATGAGTGTTTAGTGGGCATGTATGTCTGTGCACCATGTGTGCGTGCCTGGTGGCCATGGGGATCAGAAGAGGGTGGAGTCATACACAGTTATGGGCCCCCATATGGATGCTAGGAGTCACACCCAGGCCCTTTAGAAGAGCTCTTAATCACTGAGCCATCCCTCCAGCCCCAGGAGACCCTTTAAAAAAAAAGTCTTTGAAGAGAATATTCCATGAGACTATTTGAAACAAGTCACAGGCTCCTTGAAAAAAACAAAATGGGGATTGGGGATTTAGCTCAGTGGTAGAATGCTTGCCTAGCAAGCATAAGGCCCTGGGTTCGGTCCTTAGCTCCAGGAAAAAAATAAATAAAATAAAATTTAAAAAGAGAGAGAGAGACAAATGGAACCTGACAGAAAAACCTCCACAGGAGTGTTATAGAAATTTTATTCATTAACTGTCAAAAGTTGAAAGTGCTGTAACTATCTCCCAACAGGCAAAGAGAAGCGGATGCCTACAGAGTGAGCGGACACAGCGGCTGCGAATCGGGTTCCCGCCAGAACTGCGGTGTGGAGACCATGTCAGTGGCATCGGGTGGGGGTGACCACAGGGGCCTGAAGGAACTGGGGAACAGTCTCTCAACTGCACACATTCATTCGATCAGAGCTCTTCCGTGGGGTGGTCTGTGGACCACTGTGTGGGCTGGAAGGGCAGCTGGGAGGTTTAGACAGGCTGCAGATGTCGGCAGTAGCGGGAGCAGGAAAACTTACGTGGGCCAGGTTGGCTCTACCCGTCCCCCCCTCTCAGACTTCCACCCACCTCTCATCCAGCCTGGTGTCCTGCTCCACCCCTGGCTACTCCGGCACCAACACCATCATCAACAGGGTGAGAGAAGCACCCGCTCTTCAGTACCAGGTCCTCTGAGTGATGGGTATCATGTCCCCTCCCTCCTGCTCGGCCTCCCATCTCTCTGGTCCTTACAAACTCCCTAGCTTAGCCCCCTTGGGCCCTGATACTTCCTATGGGCTTGTTTATGTCCTCCCACCTCCCTCCCCTCCCCCTCCCCTCCTTCCCTAAGTCTTGCCCCCGTACTTGGTCATCCTGTCAGGAGCTCACAGGCTGAACACGCACCTCTCCCCCAAGCCAGATCTCTAGCCTGATGTTCGTTGGTGTTCCCAATACCTCCTTTGATCTCTACCAACTGTTTCTATTAATACAAACGGAGATGCAGATCTCACTCGCGGAATGCCTGTGGTTAGCTAAGCCCCGACAGTCTGTTTCCACTTGAGCTGAGCTCTGGGGTCCTGCAAGCTGCTCCTAGGTGATTCTTCACCACAGCCTCTTCTGCTTGAGAACCGACTATGCCTCCCTCATTGGATCGAAACTCCTCCACCCTTGGCCCCAACCAGGCTGGGTTACTTGCTTCCTTTGGACTCACTTCCAGATGTTCACCCCTGCAGCACTCCACTGAATGTGTCCTCCCTGGCCCTCTCTGTCTCCCCAAACCCAGCTAGCCCCTCCTGGGCAACTCCTAAAGCTGCTTTACAGTGTGTGAGGCTGAAGGATGTGGGGTTGGGAGCAGGAGGGGGGCTTGTCTGGTGGTAGGGTCTGTAACAAGACTGGTCTCTGGAGCAGGAAACTGTGGCAGGAAGCTGACAGTCACGTGGTTTGAGCATCTCGGCCCTGCAGGGCCACAGGTGCAGCCTGGGTAGTCAGAAGTTGGTTAGAGAAGAGGATCTGGGGAAGGCTGGTTTTCAGAGTCTAGTCCAAGGCTACAAGTCAAGATTGGTATCTAAGACCAAAGGCCAAGGTGGCCCAGAGGCAGGAGTTTACCCTGTTTCTACTCCACCTACCTTCCCACTCCTGGTGACAGTTATTTTGATAATCCTGCCCTGCCGATAGGCAGCCAGTGTGGTGGGGGGCCCTGGATCCCTGTGTCTGCTCCCACCCCCTGGCCTTTCTGGTCCATCCTCATCCTATTCATGCAACATGGTGGCCAGGTCTTTAGAGACACTGTAGCCAGAGATGTTGAGGCCATCAGAGGAAGACAGAGGCAGAAGATAAAAGGCTAGGAGCAAGACGCTGGCACAGGTCTTTATGTCTCCCATCTGCAGGCCAGGCCAGGGTGGCAGAACTGCTCCCAAGAGCCGGTTCACCCAAGCTTCCCAGTGTGAACCAAGCTCTCAGGGCCAGTTCACTACACTGTCTGTCCTGAGTTGTGTCCTTCAAACCCACCAGGACCCTGGGTCCAGCCTGGGCTGACCCAAGGGCTTAGTTGGGGAAGAGAGCAGGCAAGGCTTGGGTTAAGAAGCCTGTTATGGTCTTTGATCCTTCCCATTCTAGGATTATAGCCACATATTCTCCCACAGTGCCCTGAGACACAACAGTGAGGGCCAGAGTAAATGGACAAAGCTGGACTGCACACCTAGTCAACCAGGGCTGCCTTCCGCTCTGCAAAGTGGGTACTGTCGCCATCAATGACCCCTTCATTAACCTCACCACATGGTCTACATGTTCCAGTATGACTCCACCCATGGCAAGTTCCAGGACACAGTCAAGGCTGGGAACGGGAAACTCATCAACGGGAAGATCATCTCCATCTTCCAGAGTGAGAGGTCACCAACATCAGACTGGGTGACGCTGGTGCCTAGTATGTTGTGGGTTCTACGGGTACCTTCACCACCATGGAGAAGGCCAGAGCACACTTGAGGGGTGGAGTCAAGAGGGTCATCATCTCTGCCCCTTAGGCTGATGCCCCTATGTTTACAGTGGGTGTGAACCACAAGAAGTAGGATGACTCATTCAAGATTGCCAGCAATGCACCCCACCAACTGCTCAGCCCGCCCTGGTCAATGTCATCCATGACAACTTTGATATTCTTCAGGGACTCACGGCCACACTCCACGCCATCACCACCACCCAGAGAAGACTATGGATGATCCCTCTGGGAAACTGTGGCCTGAGGCTCTGAGGATGCCCAGGACATCATCTCTGCATTCACTGGCACTATAAAGGTTGTAAATCATCCCAGCACTGAGCAGGAAGCTCTCGGCCCTTCCACAGGTATACCGCTAATATGTCTGCCGTGGATCTGACTGGGCCACCTGGTTGCCAAATCCAGCTGGTGAAACAGGCAGCAGAGGGCCTCCTGAAAGGCATCCTGGGCTGTACTGAAGACCAGGTTGTCTGCTGCCACTTTAACAGACACCCACATTCCTCCACCATTGACACTGGAGCTGGCATTGCCCTCGGTGGCCACCTTGATGAGCTCATCTCCTGGTATAACAAGCTCTTACCACTCACCTATAGTCCTAGTCCCCCCAGGGCCTCCTCTTTTGTGGGTAGGTCTCAAGACAGGGTTTCTCTGTGTAGCCTTGGCTGTCCTGGAACTCACTCTGTAGACCAGGCTGGCCTCAAACTCAGAGATCTGCCTGCCTCTGCCTCCTGAGTACTGGGATTAAAGGTGTGCGCCACCACTATCTGGCTCACACTTTATTTTCTTGAAACAAAGCCTTGCTATATTCCAGGCTGACCTTGAGTTTACGGTCCTCCTGCCTGTGCCCTCCAAGTGCTCAGATTACAGACATATCTCACTACACTCTTTCTCACATATTCCCTCTTACTCATCCACAATCCCCAGGTCTCTGCTCTAGGCCCTGGTGCTCTCCCCAGCCTGCACCCTCCGACCACCCATTACCCAGAGTCTCCCTGAAGCCGTGCTTGCTTCATTCCTAGGCCACTCTGAGCTCCCCACAACAGAGGCAGCACAGGTATTTGTCACTCAGTAGGGTGCCATCTTGATTACATGATAAGCACCAGGGACCACAATTAGATGTACTGAATATGCCCTGAGGGTGTCAGCCCACTTCCTGGTTTTCCTGGCATAGGGTAGATTTGAATCTCAGGGTCTCAGATCACCTAGTAAATGGCAGTGGTGTGGATTGAGGCATCGAGCGGAGCTCGCCACTGCTCTTAGACAGTGGAGCTGCAGACTCCAGGTGCCACGCACAGGGCCTGGCTCCTTCCTGTGTTAGCACACCCACTCCGCCTTCCCTCAGCCACGGGAGCCTCCTTACGTTATTTGCTCAAGTCCCTCCCTCTGTGGGGCTGCAGCGATCACGCTCCGAGCTCAGGGCCTCTGCTCTGCTTCTGCCCTGTTCCTCCACTTCATTCAGGTCTGTTCCCTGGCCACCCCCTAGCACACTCTCCCCTTGGCGCTCCATCCCAAGCCCAGCTCATTGTCCTTCACCACTAAATATGGTACACGTGTATCAATATGCTGACATCTTTATCCCCTGCATGCCGCAAGTACAGAATGTTTGCATTTTCATTGGCCACGAATACTGGGGAGCCAAGGGCTACAATTGGCTGTGATGGGCAGGGACACCCCTTCAAGAGCCTGGCAAACAAGAGGGTCACAGGAAGGTCTGGGAGATAGCGTGGGGGCTTCACCCACTAGCACACAGGGCACAGTAGACTTGCTCAGGGGCCTTAGGCCACCCATGCCCTTGTCCTGGCCACATGCTTCATGTTTCTAGCTACTCCTCCCTGCTAGGAAGTTCCTGGTTCCCAGGTTTCCACCACCCTCCCCAGGCTACATCAAGTACCTGGGAGGCACAGCACAGCCTCCCACATCCCGGCCCTGATGGCCACCATGGTCACCGTCGGTCAGATCTTCTGCTCCTGTCTGTGCCTGGCTCCTCAAGGCACATCTACACAGCCAGTTTTCTGTTACAGCTGCCACTCACTGCCACACTGAGAACAAGGCCAGATGTTCCCTTACCAGGCTGTGTGACATCCTTTAGGAGCTACTCCGCTTACCCTGCTCCTCGGCACAATTGCTACATGGGAACCATTACTCCCATCCCTCAGCTGGGGAAACTGAGTCTCAGAAAGGTTGATGTCACGCACCCAATCTGACCCACGGTCTCTCAGGCCCAGTTGAAACTCTACCCAGTTGAAACTGACATTGATGTCGATAATCAACATCCCTATGGCAGAATCCAGAGCTGATCCAAGCCCCAGGGGACTCCATGTCCCCAAAGACCCCAATACTGCAGTTGAAGTACTTGGACTGTCAAGGCCTAAAGAGTTGGGCAGCTGGGGGCCAGAGATGGGTCTCCAAATCCAGCACTCTGAGCATCTGTTAATTGATGGGACAATGTCCCTCCACCCCCTGAAGTAAGGTGAGTCCTCCAACCCCAGCCTGGGTGCTAGGACTGTGTGACCCATACGCAAGGTGGTTTCTGCTCTCTGGTCTCAAGCTATAGGACAGTAAAAGGACACAGGACAAGGCCCTGTAGAGTCGAGGGACTGACGAGGGAAGGGCTGTGCTGTGTGTGACAGGGTGTTTGACAACATTCTTGGCATCTGTCCGTTGCACGCCTGGATTACCCAAGTCAGTATCCAAAATGTCTCCAGACGCTAGCAGCTGGCCCTGGAGACGGGGGTGTCAGATGGCTCTAAATCAGAATCACTCCCCTTCCTATGGTCCTGGGACCTGAGGGGGGGGTCGGTATGGGGTGGTCCGGGTGCTGCAGGCCCCCTGGAAGTTTCCAGAATCGGTGGAGATCAGAGCCTGGGACCATCAAGAGCTAATGATAACAATTAGCACCATAACAACCAACTATATGGTGCCTACTATGTCCCTGATCAATTGGCACCATGGCAACCAATGATATGGCTCCTGCTATGCCCCTGAATGCTAGCTAGTGTGTCCCCTTAACCCCTAAGAGAACCTGTGAAGGAGCCGCGGAATACAGAAGCTGTGAAACCACAGAAAGGTGGAGTGACTTCCCTGAGGTCACACAGCAAGTAGCAGGCAGACCCAGACGGCCCCAGGCCCCCTGGCCCTCCAGCATGGACGTCAACCCCATCCAGGCTGCTTGCCCACCAGGGAACCCGCCAGCCTTGCACAAGTGAGACAAAAACACTTTGAGATTTGAAAAGAGTCTTCGGTTTGCCTCCGCAGGTGGCACCTAGGTGGCACCTAAGGTCTTCCATCCTAGGAGTTTGTGACCCTAGTCTTTCAGCAAGGCCTTAGTAAGCACCTACTGTGTGCTTGATGCTCTAGCTAAGAGGAGAGCAGCGAACATCACAGTGACCTGTTCACCACACAGAGCCCTCTTATTTCCCGCCAAGACCCTGCCTCTCCCAGCCTCTTGCTCAACAAACAAGCCAAGCATGTAATGGGCAGCCACTTTGTATCTGCTTTTAACACACACACACACACACACACACACACACACACACACACACACACACAAACACACACACACACAAAGCGAGGCTCAGAGAGGCCAAGACACTTGTCAAGGACACACAGCCATCAAGCAGCAATCGAGTGCTTGCTTGGCTCCTTTGCCTCTGGCTCTGCCTACGAGTGGAGCCTGACTTGAGTCCCTCACCGATGATGCCACTGGCATCTTGTTGTTCAAGCTCACAGTCCTGTTGGACCAGCAGCCTGCTTCTCGCTGCTTCCTGGAGCCAACGAATGTTCCAGCAGGGGCCCAGGGACCCAGAAAGCATCTTTTATCCAAACACACTACAGTGCCAGCACCCCACAGGCGACCTGCTTCCCCGGCGATGCCCATCACCCCCTTCTCCAGCTGGAGACCACCCAGCTCAGTCCTTTAGATCCCTCTCATGCTACCTGGTGGCCTCCTGGCTCACAGCCACCCCTCTGTCCTTGGCCACCAGAAGCGGGCCACCTTCAGGATTGGCTCCATCCCACGGCTCCATCCCAGCGGCCTGACCACATGCTATGTGATCCAAGCCAGGAGGCCACCTTGTGGACCTGTCCCCACCACTAGGGCCTACCCCAGCCCAGCCTCAGGCCCTGTGGTCCCCACCCTCCTCACACAGAAGTGAGGGTAAGACAGGGACACCCAGTTCACTCACCCTCCTCCCTCCGGTCACCTTGGATGGTCATGGTAACCATGCATGGGGCAAAAGCCAGAAAATGGCCACTCACCTGGACACCCCCGGCAGTACCACAGCTCACAGGGCACGGCAGGGCCTAGCCGGGAGGCCTGGTGTCCCCCGGAGCTCTTTTTTCTCACTAACAGCTCTCTCTGCAGCTCAACCTATTTCCTTGCCGCGAAGACAGGAAAGAGAGCTGTGTTTGAAGATGACGTCAAAGCAACAAAATGCTGTGTTCAAGGAAAATCACAGGCCACACGCTCCTGGCGGGGCAGAGAGCATTTCCGGGGGGCCACGCAGTGTCAGCCACAAGGGGTCGGGAACAGAAGAGGAAGGCGAGGATTGCAGCAGCCAGGACTCCTAGGCTCCTGGGTGCAGGCTGCTGCTGTCCACAGTGAGCCCCCAACCTGAGGGAGAGAGGAAGGGACCTGGAGTGCTGAGAGAGAGGGGTAAATTCTGGAAAAGAGGGGTCCCCAGAGTGTGCCCGTCCTAGTTAAGGTTACCCCGCTGAGATGAAACACCATGACCAAAGCAACTTGGGGAGGAAAGGGCTTATTTGGCTCACACTTCCACATCACGGTGGATGATTGAAGGAAGTCAGGACAGGAACTCAAGCAGGGCAGGAACCTGGAGGCAGGAGCTGAGGCAGAAGCCATGGAGGGGTGCTGCTTACAGGCTTTGCTCAGCATAGCTTGCTTGGCCTGCTTTCAAATAGAACCCGGGACCACCAGCCCAGGGGTGGCCCCACCCACAATGGGCTGGACCCTTCTCCATCAATCACTAATTAAGAAAATGCCCTACAGGCTTGCCACAGCCCAGTCTATGGAGACATTCTCTCAATGGAGGCTTCCTCCGATCAGATGACTATAGTTTATGACAAGGTGACAGAAATCTTCGCAGCACAGAGCCCAGCTTTCCTCTCCCTGGAGGAAGCGTACTGGAGCTGGCCTCTGGCGGAACCCTAGAGGACTGACATTCTACGGGCAGGCTGGCGCGGGGGGACGGGACCCCACTCGGGCAGTGCCCTAAAGCTGGGGTTGGTGAGTCCACTGGAGCTCCAGAGCTAAGCTGATGTTCAGCTAGAAAAACCCAAGATGGCAGGGCTCTTCTAGAGGTGTTCTGGGGAAGAACCGGCTATGGGGTTGGGACAGGCAGACAGGCGCGCCCCCAACACCCACACACTCCAGTCCAGCCCCACACAGGTCTCCCATCCTAGCCACAGCTTCTTCCACGTCCTCTCTTCTCTGTGCCCGCCCAGCCCCATCACGGCATCCACCCGCCCAGAGGTCAGGAGCCACCCCCCATATCTAGCCCATAGTAGTAGCCTGCAGCACCCACTCCAGTGATGCAAGGCATCTGGGGGCCTCTCTCCCCCACCACTTCCTCGCCACTTGGACAGACACTCTGGGGAGGGCTCTGAAAGTCCGTTCAGCTGGACGGCCTTAGGGACCCTCCCCGGGAAGAACCTCTCTCATGTGGGCAGTGGGCTGTGCTCCTGGGTGCCCCACCCCAGGTCTCCCTTCTCAGTACCTCCTCACAGGGGATCTACTGTGGTCAGCTTCCTAAGACCCCCCTCCCCGTCCAGGAGGAGGCTCCTGGCCAGGGTCCTTCTGTTTTCCACCACTCCCTCCCGGCTCTCCCTTTCTCCACAGATAGAGTAAAATCCAAGATGCAGAAAGTCTCCGTAAGCCAGTGCTCTGTCCCTGAAGCAAGAGAAGATAGCCAGTGACTGAAGAGAGAACTCACGGCATCAGAGTCACATGGAGCAGGAAAGAAGCAGCCAGACAATGTCGCCAGTACTTTACAATTATATGCGCCCTTTAAATGTGCCCTTTAACCCATTTTCTGATGGAGGTTTAAAAAAAAAAAGTCAAATAACATGTCATCAGCGGCCCATGCCACTAACCTCAGCCCTTGGGAGGAGGGAGAAGGAAGATCTTTCCGTAAGTTCGAGACCAGCCTGAATTAGTGGGAGACCCTGTCTTAAAAAACAAGAGGGCCAGGTAGTGGTGGCGCACGCCTTTAATTCCAGCAAGCACTTAGGAGGCAGAGGCAGGTGGATCCCTGTGTGTCTGAGGCCAGCCTGGGCTACACAGAGAGTTCCGGGACAGCCAGGGCTACACAATGAGACCCTCTCTGGCAAACAACAACACAAAGACCAGAAGGAGCATGGCAAGATGGCACAGGGGGTACCTGCTGCCAAGCCCGACCTCCTGAGTTTGATCCCCCTGAGCCACGTGGTAGGAGAGAATCACCTCCTGCAAGTTGTCTGACCCCCATATATGTGCCACGCGCGCACACACACACACACCTGTACCTATGCATACATACGTAAATAATTTTAAAATGTAGTTAAAACAAAACAGAGGGCTGGCAAGATGGCCCAGTGGATAGAGATGCTTGCAAGCCAAACCACATAACTTGAACTCCATCCCCAGAACCCACCTAAAGGTGGAGGGAGAGAACCAACAATCGGGCCATGGCACGCATGCCCCCCAACACATCTTACTTGCACACACTTGCACACACACACACACACACACACACACACACACACACCACTAAACACGCCAAACAACAGAGAATGTGAATGAATAGAGAAAAATCAATGAAAGCACCATATCCAGGTAGGATCGTCCCCATGGCTCACACACTGATGGACACAGGAGGAGAAAACTTAGCAAATTATCTTGGAGGAACAGGGTGGCCTCCTATGCACAGGCTGCATAAGGGGCAGCAGGCTGGGGCTCCCTGGCTGGATGGGCGGGGGCCACCTTAGCTGAGTGTGAATCTCTGGTGTCCCAGAGAAGGGGACTCCAGGCCTCTGCAAACCACAAGCCACAAACTCCATGCCCCTTCCTGTCCCAGAGACCTGTGACTGGAAACTGTGTGGTGGCAGCATCCCCTGTGTGTCCACCTCTCAGAAGAGACTGCAGATTGCCACAGATAAGGGCTTGTGTTCCATGGGGGGAGCAAGGGGAGGTGCGTCCTTTCAACTTCAGAGGGAAGAGCTGATGAGTGCTTGGGACTGGGTCTGGGAAGTTGTGTGCTGAAGATCTAGAGCATTCCAGCAAACACTCACAGTGGACCCAGAGCCTGGGAAGGAATTGATCACATGCCCTCAGGCCTCCACGTTAGAGAGGCAACGTGGTTTCCTCTAGGAAATTTCCTTTAGCCTCACACTGGGCAAGAGGGGCCTGTGCGTGTGGGTAGCTGAAGCTGGGCAGGCCAGGTTTGGCTCCATAGCTAAGGGAGCACCTGGCTTCAGCAAGGAAACATCTGGCAGGAGCCCTGGGAGGGGAAAGAGTGGAGCCTCAGCCTTGCAGAGAGGCCACACTTAATTTTACCCTGGACCCCCCAGCCACAAGGACGGCCTCCTCCACCAGGGCCCCTCCTGGATTGCCTCCCCACTCTGTGACTCAACTCCTTTCCCTCTGGGCATAGCTGGGTGCCTTCTATCCCCTCATTCTTTTCTTCTACCTCTTGGGGCTGTGGTGAATGTTAAAAGAGGCCTGAAAACAAACACTGCCCGACAGCTATTCCTCACTGACAACTCGACCACATCTGGAATGAACTACAATCCAGAAATGGAGGGCACACCTGTGAGATATTTTTTGCTTGGCTTGAAATAGGTGGAGCCACTATTTCTAGTCCTGATCTTTGAGGTAGGAAGATACATTCATTTCCAGATCTTGAGGAGGAAAGGCACAACTTTAATCTGGACCACACCTTCTGCTAGAAGCCTATATAAGGACATGGAAGAAGGGAGCTTTTGCTCTTTGCCTGCTTGCCCTCACCTTGCCAGCACATCCATTCCTTCACTGACATTGGAGCCTGCTTCTTCAGGATTCCAGCACACACAGAAGACCAGCTGAGACACCCAGCCTCGTGGACTGATCAACTACTAGATTCTTGGACTTTCCATTCACAGCTAGCCATTGCTGGATTAGCTGGACCACAGCCTGTCAGTCAGCCCAATAAATCCCCTTTATATAGAGAGACTCACTCTATAAGTTCTGTGACTCTAGAGATCCCTGACTAATGCACTGCTCACTGTTGATATCCTCATCAACATCAACATCCAGTTCCCACAATTTATGCTGCATAACCCTGGTACTCCCTCTGGAGGCATCTTTGGGGGTCCTGAAAGCTGCCAACCATCATATGGGAGGAGGTTTTAAAGAGTAGAATTGACCATCATCCTCCGACAAATAAGCCCAGGCAAACTCATTGGTCACAGCAGTGACTCGCTGTGCCCTCCTTAAGGGTTTCTCAGATGGCCAACTCCTTCTGCAACCTTCAAACCATCATGGTGGTTGCCAGTGCCTCAGAGTCCAACACCGGGTCACCTACGGTCAGCTCATCCCTGTCCAAGGTACCAAGGCCTGTTGCAGGCCCTGCAGGTGCTGACCTCTTCTTCCCTGTGGAGGCGAGAGTCTGGTGGAGACGTAGACTTAGCAAAATGATGACATGTTCCCTAGAGAACGTCAGTGCTGAGGAGGAAAACACCAGGAAGCGGAAGATCTATTGGTGTGTCATTTGGAACACGGGTCAGGGCAGGACTCACGGAGGAGACCCCTAGAGCCAAGAGGGTGCAGGAGACAATGAAAGAGGTGTAGTCAAGAGGGAAGGGCAAATGGGATAGCCTAAAGCAAGAATGTGAGGTAGGGTCTCTAGCCCTAGCAACTGGAGTGCTTGAGGGGTGGGGGATGTAATTCAGTTAGTAGAGTGTTTATTTAGCATGCACAAGGCCCTGGGTTCCACCCTGGTGCCACAGCGTCACATAGTGGTGCATGCCTGTAGTCCCAGTACTTAGGAGGTACGGACCAGAAGTTCAAAGCATGGGCTGTAGAGATGGCTTGCAGTTAAAAGTGCATGCTGCTCCTGCAGAGGATCTGGGTTCGATGCCCAGCACCCACTTAAGGCAGCTCACAACCTCTGAGAACTGCAGCTCCACGGGGTCTAACGCCCTCTTCTGGCCTCTGAGGACACTTGTGTTCCGGTGCACATACCCACACACAGTCACACCCATACACCTAAGAAAAAATAATCTTAGATGCTCAAAGTAATCCTTGACTACATAAGGAGTCTGGGGGCAGTTTGGGATACATGAGACTCTTTCTCAAAAAACAAACAAACCAGACCACAAATGTGTTTGATAACTATTGTATGAGCAGCTGAAAA